CTACGATTTACCGTTAGTGGCCAATTCAGAAACACAAATTGATGCGATTGATTTCCCTCCGTTCAGATCGGGAATTCGCGCAGGATCGGCTTCAGTGATGATCGGACACCTAAACGTACCTTCATTAGATTCTACTGGAACACCAAGTAGCTTGAGCCCGATTGTTATTCGTGATTATTTGCAAGGAGAACTTGGGTTTAAAGGACTGGTGATTAGTGATGCATTAAATATGAAAGCCGTTGCTGATCGTTATGGGAAAACGGATGTTGTCGTTAAAGCGTTTCAGGCGGGATGCGACATCGTGTTGTTTCCGGAAAGTGTTACTGAAGCGATTAAAGCGATTGAGGAGAAAGTAAATGCAGGAGAAATAACACAAGAAGAAATCGATCAACGTTGTCGTAAAATTCTGAAGGCAAAATACAAAGCAATTGTTGCGCCGAAGGATTACAAAGCCTACGATAAATATGAGCTGGAACTAGCAAAAAAGCAAGTGTATGAAAAGGCGATCACTGTAGTGAAAAACGATGGGATTTTACCAATTCAACGTTTCGATCAGCGTATTGCACACGTAAGTATAGGTTCGCATACATATCCATTGGATAAATCGATGAAGTTGGTGGCGCCAGTGGATCATTTTCATTTCTACACGGTAGAAGAAGCACGAAATCGCTTTTCTGAAAAATTGAAAGATTACGACTTGATTATTACTTCATTTCATTCGAACACGGTACGCTCCAGAAATGATTATGGAATGCCCAAAGGATGGAAAGAGTGGATCAGTGATATTCCGACAGAAGCAAAGCAGGTGTTATTGATGTTTGCGAATCCACAAGCGATTCGAGCGTTGGATACCCGTCGACCAAATGCAATTGTCATGGGATACGAAAATCATTCCTTGGTGCTGGATCGTATGGGACAATTTGTGATGGGAACATTTGCGTCAAGTGGAAAATTACCAATGACGATTCCTGGAAAGTATGCTTCGGGGCATGGTTTGGAAGTTGAATGGGGCGGACGTTTGAAGGAATCACAACCCGAAGAATTGGGGATCAG